GTTCCATCAGTTTATTCTGGAACTGCCATGTTCCCCCACCCTCAGGCCTTTCTGTTCTTGCTGAAGGAACTTCAGGTCTTTTGTGTGTGGAATTTTTATCAGAGTTTATTTGAACCAAACTGATGCCAGGGAGCAAGATTTCAAACGCTTTGGGGAATGACATTTTCAGTTTCTTTTATGCATCTGAAATTAGGGAGGGAACGTAAAGCAGATTATAGGATGATGGGTGAAAGCAAGGTGGGGATTGGATTACAGGAGAGTTAACAAGATTATGTGCTCTCTTGAAGGTGGTTATCCCTTATTTCAAAGGTGTGTTAACATAGATACACCGTAAACAACGGACCCCTGTCCATTGCCTCAGGCAAAGATAAACCTCTTACTAAAAAAGTTTTATGCCTGGGGCATGACTACCCACGATGACCCGTGACCTGCCCAGTTAGAAATTTATAATCAGATTGCTCTGTGAGGTTACTTTCCATAGGACCCATTTTCATCCACAGCAACTTCAATTATTTCATCTAAATGCCCGAAGGCGTCAGGCAGGCAATATAAAGGTGTAATATGCAAGGAGGTGGCCATAGGCCCTGGCCGAAAGGCCTCCTGGAATGAGGGCTCAGTTTGAGTAGACTTGACCTTCAGATCCCTTTACAATCTTGCGTTAGGATAGCTTTCTCCTCTCCACCTCCGTTACCATGAGCATACTCTTATCTGCTAGTTGTGTTAAAATATGGCACCAAAAGCAAACACAACTCTCCAGAAGTGTCCTGTGGTCAGAACCCACAGAATTAGTAATGGCCCGGAACACACACATTTCAGGAGGCACTTTAATGCCCAAACCAGTCACCAAAGGCAGCTTACCTTGATCCAGGGGTGCTGCAAACTATCTTGAATGGTCATTCTCTTCCTTTGTGGGGAGAGAAGAAGGAAAAAAAAAAATGCTGTGACCACAGAAGCAAACACTATGGTTGTTTCCATGCTGGCTGGGCCTACAAAACAGATGTTCTAGAAAATGCAGTTTGGGGCTTGCTTCACGGAAGAGAGTCGAGAAAAAAGTACGCCCGTGTCGTGATTTTCACTGTGCCAGCAGGACTGACTGAACAGGTACCCAGGAGCCTGCATTTTCTGAGGCGTTTCACATGGCATGCTTCCCTCTGCGAGGAGCAAACAACCAGGGTCTCCTAGGTGTGGCCTCGCGCACAGGACAGGGGCAAACCCTAGTCGAGCGGAGGCCACGGCTGAGCACTTTTCGGGAACAATGGACACTCACTTTGGATCCTTGACGAGCAGTCTTCTTATGAAATCTTTGGCGAGGGCACTGGTATTACTGAAGTATTCTTCTTCAAATTCGTAGTTGACAGCGGATACATTTGCTAACGTCTCTTGCTTAGTGTCTCCAAGAAATGGCGAGGCCCCACTTAGGCTGTTGATAAAGTGGGGCACAGAACATGAACAATTACCTCTTGTGTTGTCATTTAGTTCCCATAATACCTGATAAGGGGGGCGAGGAATAAGATTATAATGTGGTGCTTGGGAAGTCGTTTTAGAATTCCATTTAAATGTCAGGCACAAAGGCTTCGGCTTAATGCAAAGGATGCATTTAAAAAGTTAATCTGGAACAGCATCTAGTAGTTTACAAAAAACCTCTAGCCTGTTTTCCTCAGTGATGGACAGACATGCTTTCTTCCAGTGATTATGCTGCAGTTTCTGATGACTCACTTCAAAGTCGGAGAAAATGTTTAATTAGTATAAACTAAGCGTGTTCTGGGGGTGTAAAATGAATGTTTACATAAAGAGCATGCATCAGCTGAAGAGATCAACATGACTGCTTAATAAAACATATGGTCTCAAAGAAAGAGGGAAAGAATACAAGTTGTGGGTTCTGGTACTTACAGAATATAGGTGATTACTCCAATACTCCTAGACACGAAACAGAAACAAAAACAAATGTCAGAATAATAATAAATTAAATCAGAAAGACAACAACATCAAGGGCGCACTACTTACCACATATCTGCCTCGAGACCAAGCGGTTCATAGTTGACTATCTCAGGAGCTAAGAGGAAAGAAACGCACACCGAGAGAGACAGTTTCGAAAGGAAGCAAACCAACAGATCGTGTTTTCATGTATAAATCGGACACATGTACCAGGGAAATGATGCTGCAGCCGGGGAAATTTTGCCAATATAATGCTTATGAGAAATAAATGACCACAGGAGCAAAGAAACTTACCAACAAATTCTGGTGTCCCAAATATGTTTTTGAATTCATTTCCGAAGTCAATTTTATGGGCCAGCCCAAAGTCGATGATCTTGATCCGAGGTTTGGGAACATTCCTATCCAAAAGCATTATGTTTTCAGGCTAAAAAACAAAAAAGAAATAGTGCTGCAGCGATATAGTAACCAAAAGGTGGGAAAAGATCCAATGTCCACCAACAGAGGAATGGATACACAAAATGTGGTAGATAACATAATGGAATATTTATTCAGCCGTAGAAAGGAAGTCAAGTCTGTAACTTGTTACAACATGGAAGAACCGTGAAGGGCATTATGCTAACTGAAATAAGCCAGATAAAACAGGGTAACTATTATATGATTCCACTGATATGAAGTACCCGGAATGGGCAAATTCATGGAGTCAGAAAGTAGAATGGTGGTGGTGAGAAGGTGGGGTTGGGGGAAAGGATGGGGAGTTACTGTTTAATGGGCACATGGTTTCAGGGTGGGAAGATCAGTAAGTTCTAGAAGTAGATGGTGGTGATGGTTGCACAACAAGGTAGATATACTGATGCCACTGAACTGCATACTTAAAAATGGTTAGAATGGTATAAATTATATGTTATCTTTATTTTACCACAATAAAAAAATACAGCAGCTAAGCTATGCTATGCTAAGGTAAGGTGGCTGAATAACTCTTCCTCTCCCCTGAAAAATCAACTGAAAAACAGGCATAAAGGGTACTTGCAACAGAACACCAGGAAAAATAAATGTTCTGGTTTAGGTTCTCCCAGGAGTAGACCTGGGACATTTGGGGGCATGTGGCTTATGTGGGAGCCACTTGGTAGAGGAATCGGGGGACAGGAAATGGAAGGAAGCCGATACGAGGCATCTTATCAAGTTAGGGGTGACTGGAGTGTGACCCCTTTGAGGAACTTGGGGAGAAAAAGTAGCACTCAGAGTTTTCCGAATAAAACAGGAGGGAAGGAGGGAGTTCGGAGGTTTACTGACCATCTCGCCATTCTTCGTTGTTAAGAGCTGTGCCTACGGGCATTTACTTTTTTTTTCTTTTTACTATATTTTTATTGATTTCAGAGAGGAAGGGAGAGGGAGAGAGCGAGAGAAACATCCATGATGAGAGCGAATCATTGATTGGCTGTCTCCTGCATGACCCCCTCTGGGGACTGAGCTTACAACCTGGGCATGTGCCCTTGACCGGAACCGAACCTGGGACCCTTCAGTCCGCAGGCCAACGCTCTATCCACTGAGCCAAACCGGCTAGGGCAGCATTTACTCCTTAGCATTGCCAGCTCCCAGGGCCAGAAACCAGAGGCCAAGCAGAGAGCCAGAGGTGTTTGCAACAGCAGTCTTTGGGGTGTGCTTTAGTGAGTGTTGCGGGGATAGAGATGGGGTCTTCATAGCTTTGCTACAAGAGCATGAAGAAAATCCTTCCTCTGCTATGGTCCTATCCTAGCTCCAATGATCCAAACCATTCACTTGGCAACTGATCACATGCTACTTTGCACTTGAATCTAAACATTGACATTGTCACTTCCTGTGGCTCAAGGGTGTCTTACCTTCCCAAAGAGATCATGACCTCTGTGACTGTGGGGAGTATGACATTAGCTCCTATAATGCCCTGCCTCCAGCCAGGTATGACCCCACTTAGCCAACCTCAGAATTTGGTTTGATTGATCGCCGGTGACAGAGTCAGACCCATAAGCCTTTTTGTATCAAGAGGAAGAGTAGAAATTGCGGCTCTATCTTCTATGCCCTGCAGCCACCGGGGGATGGAGACTGGGAAGCCAGTGGGCACTCCCAGCTGAAAATGTCCTACCACCACCAGCAGCTCTGTTGCTTAAAGACCTGGCTGATGAGACCTCTTGATTCTTCCCCAGAGATTCTCAAATGTAATCATTAATCTTAAGCCTCTATTCCACAAAAAGTTAGGAGTCACTGCGGAAGGCGTGCATTATACACGGGCTGATTTACACTGATAATTCCATCTGTTATACCCACAGGAATGACAAGTATCTCTTTCAAGTGCTTCCATTTTTTTCTTAGCAAACAAACAACCCATGCTGTGGTTTTCATCAGCTTCTCTCTGACTAACACTCAGCAACGTACCTTAAGATCAAAGTGGGCAATCTGGAGGGAGTGCAGGTAGTAAACACCATTAAGAATTTGTTTGAGAAATTCAGTTGCTTCCTCTTCAGTCAAAGATTCCTTTTCAGCTAAGAAGTCAAACAGCTCGCCACCTGCAACACTGGAAATAAGAAGCAGAGGTTACTGATGACAGTTCTGTTTCATAGCTGATGTGTTCTCTCATAGACGATCGGCACATTCAAATTTCAGGCCAGAGAACAGCATGAGGATGAGCTAAGCACGGAACCAGAATTCTCACCGGATGAGACATCTGCCTTCAGGTACATTTGTGCTCAAAAGCACTTGGGTACCATTTTCCTAATGGCACTATGTTCACAAATGAGGGAGGAAGCAGAGACATCATGGGGGTGGGGCTCAATGGATCCTTAAAACATTTTAATTAAACGTATTTGGAGATGAAGTCACAACTCCCTGACTAAGAAACAAAACGACAACTTTGTACAGAATTTATTAAAAATACATCTTCCTAGCTCAATCAGAGGGTACCTGAAAAGTTCATATTCCATATGTCAACCAATGTTTTAAACCCCAAATCACAGTACATAGATTGACAAGGATATTTTTCTTTTGTATTTGTTTATTGGCAAATCCCTCTATGTTTATATAAGTCACATTTAGTAATGAATTTAACAAATACCCTAAGCAATAAGAATAAACTTACACAAAATTGAAATGCGCATGGCTGTTGGGGATTTATTTAATCAATCTCCCCGGCCAGACTATAAGGCCCTGAAGGGCAGAGATCAGCTCCAGCTGTTGGCCCACATCTGTCCCCACCTTCCTGAACAGTGCCCATCACATAGCAAGAACTCAAAACTTTTTTATCAAGTGGATAAAGGAGCAAACTTCCTTGATTAATGGCAAATAAAAGGGAACTTTTAATAAGAGTGCTTATAAATTAATGTTTATCATTTAACTATACATTCACAACATAATAATTAACTGCAATTATGCATATAACTGCTGTGTTCATTATCTTTCTTTCAGCAAGGCAGCTCCATGAACACCATACCTATATTGACAAGAGGGTGCTCAAGGGATTAAACAATAGGACAGAAAAAGCTGTTTTCTTAGAGAAACGTTTCAGAGTCCTCCGTCCAAGTCAGTGTCTTCCTTAGCCTGGTCCACAGTCCATAGGATGGGAATTGCTTGGGGCGTTTTGACAATGCAGATTCCGGGCCTCACTTCCAAACTGCTGCCTGAGAGTTTCTAAGAGTGGGATTCAGGAAATGCAACAGCATACTGAACAAACACCCCGGGTGACTTCGCACACTAAAAACAGGGACCCCTTTTCACAGTCTTAATTACCTGCCTCTGCGGCAAGGCCACCCTCTGATGTTTAACTTCCGGATGTTTACCCAGAGGGCGAGGTGACTCCTCCACCCTGGGGCACGAGCAGAGGGCTCTGGCAGATCTGCAATGTGTCACAGCACCAGAGCCACCAGGGAGGCCAGCAGCCCCCCGGGGGACAGAGGCCTGCAGTTGGCGACACTGGCCGGATAGCGGCCTTCCTGTCTGCAGCCTCTCAGACCGGCTGCCCTCTCCTCCCCACAGTGCATGGCTCCCACTCAACTCCACGGACCCTCCGCTTCTCACTTCTCTGTGTTCTTATTCCTCTTAAAACCAACAATAATGTCCTGGCTGGGTGGCTCAGTGGTTGAGGATGGATCTATGAACCAGGAGGTCACAGTTATATACACACACACATATACATACATACATACATAAATGTATAAAGAACCAATAATAATGGAGAGGGAATCCTTCAACCACAGGGAACAAAAAGGAGGAAAAATGGTAAACTGTCAACCGACCGCTGCTGAGACAGATGCTGCATCCTGTTTGCCTCGGTGCCCTCTGCTGTTGGAGCCACAGAGGCTGCTCCGTGGGAGGCTGGCCCACAGTTGGCACCTCTGGCTGAAATCTTAACTCTGCAGCCAGAGGTCATTCCTTCTCTCTGAGCCTCATTTTCTCATCAAATGGGAATCATAGGACCTATTAGTTTTAGGGCTTTGAGGATAAAGATAGTAAATATACATAAAGCAACTGGCAGGCAGGTCTGGCAGGAGCTGAGGCCCAGAAAGCAGAACTGGTGCCCCTACAAAGGAAGGAAAGCCCGTTCCTACAGACCACCACCCCTCCCCCAGGCTTCCCCGTGAGAGTCCCCGCCCTGCTTCCCCTCTCCGGGCTCCAGTCCATGGGTGTGGCCAGACGGCTGCACCTCCCCTCCCCCCACTTCGCCCCCAGGGGTTCTCCGGGGCGGTGGTGCCCAGCCCCAGCTTCTCTTTCTGTCCCCCTCCAGGGCCTTCCGCACTCCCCCTGCTCACACGGGCCGCTGGTTCCTGACATGGAGAAACAGCTGGGGTTTGGCTGCCCGGAGCTGGGGAGAATCTTTGAACTCCCGAACAGCTTGGTACAGGGAGGGGCCCAAGACCTTCCTAGGAACCCCACTGCTGTCCCAGGCCAAGTCTTAGCACTTTTTTTTCAGCTGGAGTGGCCATCTCATACTCTCCCATTCAGTCTTCTTCTTTTTTAAAAAAAATTATACTTACTGATTTAAAAGAGGAAGGGAGAGGGAGAGAGAGAAACATCAATGATGAGAGAGAATCATTGATCGGCTGTATCCTGCATGCCCTCTACTGGGGATCAAGCCTGCAACCTGGACATGGGCCCTTAACTGGAATTGAACCTGGGATCCTTCAGTCCTCAAGCTGATGCTCTATCCACTGAGCTAAACCGGCTCGGTCCCCTTATTCAGTCTTCTTGTGCTGAGCAACTCACCTCCAAGGTGCTTCCTGACCACAGAAGTGAGAACCAGAACAAGCCTGGAGCCCCCCGCCCCGTGAGGGACCAGCCCGAAGGGGGGCAGGGTCTGACAGGACTGAGGAAGGAGGCCCGGGCCATCTCCAGCTTTCTCCTCCACCCGGCTCGCAGGTCCTGTTCAGATTTCCTGCTGTTCACGACAAGGTCCACACCGTCTCTTGTCCAGGAAGCCAAGTCATGCAGCTGGACATCAGGAGGGTGAGGGAGCCCAGCTCACTCGGCCCGGACCCATCCCTGGTTTCCTGCTGCCTGAAGGCCCTACATACACATGCATCCTCCTCACACCCCGACGGGAAGGCAGATGTCTCCACCATGAGTCTCTGCTTACAAAATCTCTAGTCATTAATCAAAGTGATTGGAAGGAAGTGATTTCAGCCAAGGTTGGGGAGCATGACAAGCATCATTTGGCAGTTTACTGTCCCTCTGCCCCCATCTCAGAAGGTAGAAAGTGACCTGAAGGTTCTTTCCC